AATATCATAATGCTTTGGGTTTTCATCCCTTCTGCCCTTGAATACATTACTGAGTGATTGTACCTTTAGACTCCTTGTGAATACATCGACAGCACTGTTACATCAGAATCAATGAAGCTTCGAGAAGCCAAAAAAAGGTAGGAATAGCACATTGGAAACGTGGTAGTGCTTCTCCCCTAATGCATTTTGTTTGAATGCATCTGGGACTACAAAGCGAATCAACCTTATGCAAAATACAAAACCCAACATTCCTGGGGACTTCTCAACTACGGTCTGATCACCTCATTTCAGACAGCCCAATATTTAAATAGCGTTTTTTCTCTGGTCTTACCTAGCAAACACACGTACCCTCACCGACCAGCTGGTGTCATTGTGCAAAGAATCTCAAAAGGCATTACATGTCGCATCGCACTATTAGAAAATTTCCTTTACGCGCATCAGGACTCGCCGTTGCAGGCCTGATGACATGGGACCTCTAGTAGCCAAGGCTGTCACTGAGACAAGTCTCTAGAATATGTGATTTTTGAGATAAAGATCTACTGAGGCATTTCCTGATTAAGTGATTTCTTACAGCAATCACCTAAGTAATAACATCCTGAATAATAGCACTCATCTACTGTGAGACCTATTTTCACAGTGTCTGCTGCAAATTTCATCGTCCAGATTCAGGTATGTCAGAATTTTTTTTAGAAATAAATCCGCAATCTCAGATTCATTCGTAATTTTGCTGACTCATTTGAGTCATGTTCCATTGAAATTACTGAACAATGTTTGAATTTGCTCAATCTGGTGCAGTCTCTTTCTAATTTGTCTCTATGCTCTATTTATTCGAGCAGCTGTTACGTTTGAAATTCATAAAAGCATTAATCTTTGAAAGCGTAGCATGAAACTTCATTTCAATTATACTTTCGTTATTAAAGGTTGCAGATGTACAAGAAGCCCTCCGCGAGTCTAATCGGTCTCTGGCGACCAGACAACATGAACTACCAATGACAATGGACGTCAAAAAGCTTCCTCCAATCGGTAACGTGCAACTAAATTAACTTTTATTTAGCATAAATCATCCTGTTCGTTATTCCTATTCCGTTAAGAGTATAAAAATCTATTCATAAACGTGTGGCTGCAATTCTTACCATAAAGCGAAGCAAAACTATTCCAGTGTACAGTTAAGAGTGTCTAGTGGAAACGGTTGGGTTTCACCGATCTGCCTCGCTTCTACTATGTGGAGAAAAAGCAGAGGGTGACAAATAGATTCCAAGGAGTAATCATGAACTGTTTTCATTGTCCGGAGATT